CTCTTGCGATAGGTTTTCTTCCCCTCCTCTGACAAGCCTGTGTCCCTCTTCTAGGAGAGGCTGGGAACCATGGGCCCTGGAGTCCCTCCTGACGCCCTTCCTCCTCCTCCTCCTCCTCCCCGCAGCCCATTTCCTGTACCAGGGGAAGTGCGCGTGCCACTTCCTCTCCTCTCCGCTTCCCTAAAATGCAGCCCCCCCCAGACTGAAGGGATTCCCCCCCCTCCCAACTTTCTCCGCTTCTCTCTGGGCTTCGCACTATCTCCTCTTGTGGATGAACTCAAGGGAGGCTCTGCCCGGAGACCGATGACGATGAAGAAGGGAGAATTCCCATTGGTCCCTCCGCTTTTCTGGGCCCTCCCAATTACGAAATTCGAGGGAAACGCCCCCGCCAGACCCACCGATTCCGCCTCTGGGGCTGGGAGCCTCCGCGTCTTTCTCCCCTCTCTCTGGGGGAGCTGGTGGGGCGGCATCCATGGGCTCTGTTGGGGTCCCTCTGTTGTTGCTGGTGGGGGCGCTGGCCCGGATCCCCGGAAGCGAAGGGGGGAAGGAGACGCCCGGTAAGGAGGGGGCCCGTACGGGGGAGGAGAGGGGCCGGGAGGGGCCGTCAGTGCTCCTGGGAAGGGGGGAAGAAAGGGGCTGGGACCCCAGTAGTGGGAAAAGGGGTCGAGGGCAAGAGAGGCGTGAGACTGCAGGAGCCTCGATCTCCGCGTGGTCTCTGCCCCTCCCTCACTGTATTTCCCCCTCTCAGGAGAATAGGGATCCCCCCCTTCCCTGGTTGTGGCCGAGGTGGGCGGGGGTCCCGGGAAGGCAGCCGATGTGGGATAAGAGTCAGCCGGGCCCCTCTCTCGCCCCCCCCGTGGCTGGGTGGGAGGGGGACCTCGCGGACCCAGAATTAGCGCCTGAGCCTCGAAGTTTCTTGCACCGAAAGAGGAAGGAGACCGAAAAGCGAAAATGAAAGAGGGAAACTGAGGCATTTTTAGAGCTAAATCCACAAAGGCCATCAAATGTATAAGAAAAAGAGATTTTTTTTGGCAAAAGTGTTTTTCAGTTTTTCTTCTGAATCTCCATTTTTCTTAAGGGGAGAGAAGAGTTGAGCTTGGATTCCTTCTTGGGGGAGACTCTGAATTTGGGGAGGAGACCCAGAACCCCCCACCCCATATTCCCCAATTGGTGAATCTGGACCTGGAGGGAAGGGGGGAACTGAGGGAGAAGATATTGGGGGGGGGGTCTGAATTACTCCCCTAAATTGGCTACCCAAAACTATCTGTTTTGTGAGGGGGGCTGGAGACGCTCCCTTTGAGGTGGTCTTGGGCAGGCTTCAGGAGGACAGGAAAGAGGGCTGAACCCCCAAATCACGCAAAGGCAGCAAGTAGGACTGAAGTTGCAAGGATGGAGAAAAGTGGGGGGATAATTAGGGAATCTAGGGGTTCCCTTCTCCCCAGGATCCACAGGCCCCCAAACTGTCTAGATCAAAATTGAGCAGCCCTCCCTCAACAGAGTGGGGGGAGGGAAAGGACCCCCCATTTCCTGCCTACAAAAGGGGTCTTTTCAGCAGCCCCAGGAAGGCTCTCCACCCCTTTGCCCCCCCAATTCAGGGGACCCTGAGGGTTCAGATAAGCCACTGGGGGTCCTCAAGGCCCCTCAGAGAACCAACGACCGACTTTCAAACTGACCACAAGGAACCTCCGTCCTTCCACCCTCCACCCTTCAGTCAGAACTGAAGAAGCTTCTGGAATGAGAAGCGAAACATCTTCAAGGGAAAACCCAGGAAAGTCCAGCTGCCTTTTGGAAAAGCCCCTTTGGGCCAAGGGAGACCAGGGGGAGGGAGGGTCTCCGGAGAGACCCCCCATGGCTCCCCTCAGCCCTTCCGAAGTCTCTGCTGGCCGAGTCTGGACTCCTCGTGGGGGTCTTAAGAGAGCTTAAAGGGGCATCTAGTCCACCCCTCCAGGCACATAGAGAAAGAGGGACTGTGGTTCAGATTTATGGGAGGGGGCGAAAAAGGAAGTCCACAACCCCCCCCCGAACACCCCTCTAAAGCTGCAGCCCCCAAGACTGAAAATTTTCCCCTCCCTCGCCTTCTCCGCTTCTATTGGGAGGGATATTGGGGGGGGGTGTCTGAGTTGCTCCTCCAAACTCTCCCTTTAATGAAGGGGGCTGGAACCCTCCCTTTGAGGTAGCCTTGGGGGGCTGCAGGGGGGTCTTTTGGGGAAGGGGACAGGAAAGAGGCCTCAAACAGCATCCAAAGGCAGCTTGTAGGGCTGAAGATGGGGGGAGGAAGGGAAGGTGGGGCTTGAAGGGTGGGGAGAGCCCAGGAGCATGGGTGTGGGTATCCTTATTGTGGCCCCCTTCCCTTCTGCTCCCAAAAGGAAGAGGGAGAGAGAAGCGTGGGTATTATTTTCCCTCCAGCCCAGAGGGAGGGGTCTCTTCCCTCCCCCCATATTTCCTGCCGGTTTGGGAGGGGGGGCAAAGGGGGCCCACCGGGATCCAGCGTTCCCTGCAGACAGAGGGAGGCCTGGACCGGCTGAACTTCTGCCTGCCTTTTTCCACCCTGGGGAGATGGAGGGGGGGTCCCTCGGGAAGCTCTTTCCCCCCTCCCTCATTTTCCTCCCCCCCTCCAGACCCCCAACAAGGGGGAAATCCCGCTGGGACCGACGGTTCCTCATCCCTCCATCCAGGGGGCGCCTTCCAGCAGTCCCTCGCGGCAGGTCTCCCGCCCCTCCGCCTTCCCGTCGCTCCGCCCCTCCTCTAGTAGCCGCTGGGAACCATGGGCCCTGGAGTCCCTCCTGAGGGCTTTCCTCTTTCTGCTCCAACCCCCCCCCCCCGCAGCCCATTTCCTGCTCCAGGAGAAGCCCGAGTGCCATTTCTTCAACGGGACGCAGCGGGTGCGGTTCCTGGACCGGGACTTCTACGACCGGCAGGAGATCGACTACTTCGACAGCGACCTCGGGAAATACGTGGCCGTCACTCCGTTGGGGCAGCCCGATGTGGACAAGTGGAACAGCGATAAGCGCATCCTGC